AAGCCCCCAACCCCACACTGTTATTTTAGGAGATTGTAGTTTAAATCTGCAGCTTGTTTGCAAAAACCCCTTGTGTTATGTTTCTTTTTATAGAACTGAAGAAAAACTAACTAAACAAACTGAGGCTTCGTGTTTACCTATAAGAAAATATTTTGAAGCATCTTTAAAATCAGCATTCAGGGGACATTTGCGAGTTCGACATTTCTATAGAAGAAAAGGGTTAGTGAGAGTAACTGCCCTCGTTACACTAAATTTCTGGTATTTACAGATGTCATGTCAACCAAAGAGGTTGTACTGAATTCTAGGGAATGTGATAACTGGGAGAGGAAGTTCCAGCTGACATAAAATCTAATTAAAAAGGAGACCAAAATCATTCATTCTCATATTCAAGTGTGTTATTGCAGGTCTTGAGCTTGAAGACAGTACTCAATATAACAATCGCAGCTTCGTAAGAATAGTTTCAGGTAATACATATCAGCTCTTATCTCAAAAGACCCCCCGAGTACTGTATGAACCTTGATACATAAAGGATTAACATAAAATTGGATTGTGGATTGAAGACCAAACTTTATTCATTTGGTAGTCTCAAATTGATCTTAATATACTGTTTGTGACATTTATATTCTCATTAACGTCTTTATTCATCCAATCAATATTTAGTAGGATCTATTCTCTCTTAAAAACTACTTTGTTGTCCCAATCAAATGAGACCACGGCTCCTTAAAACCTACACCATATTGCAGTCATAATAAACATCCTTGTAACAGCAGTACTGACTTACTTATCTTTATAATCCTTGAATCTCTTAACCCTAAACTTATTCCTGAGACATGTACTAAACAGCCTTTATTTAAAGATGGAGTTAAGATAAAAAAATGTCCTCGATTCATTTTTTTCTAATTTTAATAAATAAATAAAGATTTAGACGTTCCAGTCCCATTCATAAAACTTGATTATGCCATAATTTGTTAATAAAACAACTGCAGTAATGCCATCTGGCATTTACTTTATTAATATACATAAACCTGATTTTAGAACTGAATCATTTGATCAACACCATGGATAATTCTAAACAACTGTTTATTTTTTAAAACACAAACAAGAAAAAGTAATTAGAGGAATCAATTAATCACTTTTCTTAAGTGTTTTATTCTTGTAAAGATGGGTTTCTTTGAAAGTGCATGATTGATGTAGCTTGTATGTTCTTCTTAACCCATTCTTTAGAAATCTACACCAGACACTCAATCATTATTCTTTGTATAGTTTCATCTCATTTCTTTTAAGAAAATAAAGAATAAAAAATGCAGATTTTCTTCTCCTACATATTTTATCTTTATGAAATGCCATAATAAAATTTTTTAATCCTAATCCAAAGATATTTTTCTACTTATCTTCAGAGTGGGAGGGAGAGAGCAGGGGAGAGAGAGAAACAATGATGTGAGAGAGACACATCAACTGGTTGCCTCCCACACGACCCTGACCACAGCCCAGGATGCACCAAAACCAAGGTACATGCCCTTGACCAGAATCAAATCTGGGACTCATTGGTCTATGGGCCAACGCTCTACCTCTGAGCCAAACTGGCCGGGCAGCCATAATTAATTATTACAGCCAAGTCCTCACCCTAGCTATTGTTTTCCCATGATAATTCGGCCAAATTATGTGAATGAAGGAAGTGCTATTTTATATTCACATCATTCACCTCAAGCTATTTTTTTCCTCTCTCTTCAATAAAGAGTAAAATCAGATATACAGAAACACAAAGTTTGGTCTACATCCAAGTTCAAGTCGCTCAGATTTTTTTCTATATAAGGTAGTCTTCCTTTGGTTGAGATGATGAAAGATCTAAAACAACACCCATGACATTGTCAATTTTACACAATCATTTTTTTTTTTCATTGAATAAACGACACTCTGGATATAAGATTCTTTACTATGGAGTATAAATTGAATTTTTTTCACAAAGAAACTTTCATCAAGTGGTGGATACTTGGCAGAGGGACCAAGATCTTGCCTTAAACTATGGCCACCCCAGGTCAGGGTGATGAGTGTTCAAAGCCAGGAGGCCTTTGCAGTAATGTGTGCAGCACATTTGTTTTGTTCCAGCCAGGATTTGGCTCAGCAGAAATGGTATTCTTTCTACCTTCACCATCCAGGTAAATCAATCTGCAGATCAATGCTCCCTGAGGCCCTCATTTCCCAGAATGTTGATGCATATCAAACTCTGCAAGGCCTTTGCTGCCAGGATTTTTGTCACTTTCTGTTCTTTGTGTTTTCTGTAAATCCTCACCCTTTGAAAATGTATTACATAACCTTTAGTTTATTATAGTTCTTTGCCAGGTAATCTAGAACTGACAATGATTTCTTTACAAAGACACCCAGTGCAGAATTTCCACTGGTTTCACATCTTTTTAACATTTATAAGTGTTACACTTTAAAATGAATTTAAAAGAAAGCAGAGGTTATTAGCTGAGGCCACACAGAAACCACAACTGAGGGTGTTGAGAGACAAGAGACAGGATGAGTGTGGAGGCTTAAAGAGAATGCAAAAAAGTCTTCAATAGTCACAACAGAGACTGATGGTGAATGAGTTAAGAGATAAATAATGGATTGCCCAGTGGCAATAATCCCTGCTAGGTTAAATAGTAGGAATCTCTAGTAAACTAAATAATAGTACACAGTTTCCCAACTGAGTACCAACCATTGTGTTCCTTGATAATTGTTTTTGCGCAAGCTGTACCTGAGATGCCCCCAAAATAAAGAGAGCTTCAGGGTACTCAACCCATGGCAAATCACTCAAGTTTGGGTTACCCATTATGATGACTAATTAAGGTTTCTTTACTGAACTTTCTTTTTTTATTTGAAGGAGGATTTTTATTCCTTTTATGTACAGAAAACTCGACAGTGCACATTTAGCCCAGCTTAGTGGCCAGTTCTTTGGCCTTGGCCTTTTCCATCTTGGCAATGTGAGCCACTGACTTGGGACCCAAGATGTTGCCTCCCCAGTGGTGGCGGATCTCGTTGTATCTGTCGTTGTAATTGGTTCGGATAGCTTCCACCAGCTTAGCCAGAGCTCCTTTGTCTTCCAAGTTAACCTGTGCGAAGGCCACAGTGGTGCAGGTCTTCCTGTGGACTAGACGCCCCAGCCTGGCCTTCCCCTTGAAGATGCAGTAGGGAACTCCCATCTTACAGCACAGGGCAGGCAGGAAGACAACCAGCTCTATGGGATCCACGTCATGTGCAATCACCACCAGCTGGGCCTTCTTGTTCTCCACCAGGGTGGTGACAGTGTTAACACCCGCTCGAAGGACAGGTGGCCTCTTGGTGGGCACATCCCCTTTGCCGGCAGCCTTCTTCTCAGCCCAGACCAACAGCCTCTGCTTCTTCTCCTGCTTGTCTCTGGCCTGTACTTGTGGGCCAGCTTAAGCAGTTGAGTGGCTGTCTGGCGGTCCAAGGCCTGGGTGAACTGGTTAATGGCAGGAGGCACTTTCAGACGCTTATAGAGAATAGCCCTTTGCCGCTGCAGCCGAATGTAGCGGGGCCATTTGACAAAGCGGGTGAGGTCCCTTTTGGGCTGGCTGTCCTGTCCAATGCCAAAGTTCTTGGGCCTTTTCTCGAACAGGGGCTTTACCACCTTCTTGGCCTCCTGCTTCTTCACTTTACTAAACTTTCTTTACCTTTATCTCTATGGTGAGATTGTCAAGAGAAATTTGTTTTAGATAAATTGTGGACAAGATAGATCTGGCAATACAACGCATGTAAAAATGCTATGTAAAGCATTATAAATGTGTAGCTGAGTTGCCAAGAAAGTAAAAAAAAAAAAACTTCAGAGGCCAAGAGTAAAGGACGACTGCACCAAAGAAAGTTGCCAGATTGGGTAGCAGACTGGAAATGCAATGCTCACCCAAGAACAAGAACTTTGGACTTTGTCAAGGCAATAAACTATGTCTTAGATTTCATATTAAGCCAGACTATTGAAGGGTAGCACCAAAAGAACAGAAGAAAATCTGTTACCTATACAAGGAGTCAACTAAGTGTTTTCTGTCTTGTCCTGGGTTTAGTGAGATGAGGGAGATGTCTTCTATAAGAATTTGTCATCACAGCCTTCTTTAGACAGATTGTATTTTGAATTTATGCACACACTGTGATCTGGGAATCTGGAAATAGATAACTTATTATAAAGTGGCCTAGGCCCATAATACCAACATTGCAGTATCTGTTACAAACCAACACAAAGACATCTTGGAAGGGATTCTAAGGGATAGTGGTTGAGAATTTCCCAGAACTGTTGAAGCACAATCCTCATAGTAAGGAAGCATAACAATTCCTGAGCAATATAGGCAAAAATTAAAAAGTAAAAGTTCAAACTCATTGTAATGAAAATATAGAAACTTAAAGACAAAGAGAAGGTTTTAGATGTAATCAGAAAGAAAAGGTGAGATGAGCAGAGATTCCATTTCATCGATGGCCACGCATGCAAAACTGTTTCCCAGCACAATTCTTAAGTTCTGGATTTTTTTTTAAAGGCTGATTCTGAGTTTGTTTATTTATCTTTTTTAATTTTTAGAGCGAGAGGAAAGGAGAAAGAGAGAGAAACATCAATGTGAGAGCGATACATTGATTGTCCACCTCCTACACATCCCCCACTGGGGATCGAGCCCGCAAATCAGCCATGTGCCCTGACTGGGAATCAAACTGGGACCTCTCAGTCCATGGGACAATGTTCATTCCACTGAGCCACACCAGCCAGGCTTATAGTGTGATTTAAATTAGAGTTGTTGTGGTTTTTTTTGTTTTTTTTTTTACTTTAACCACTTAATTTTGAATGTGGCTTATGAATTTTTTTAATTTGGATAATTCATTTTTATAATAAAAACAATGTCATTTTCTCATCAGTTTCTATAAGGAATTTTTGCTTAAAAAGTTAAAATTCTACTTTTACTAATATAATAATTCAGTAAAGTTAAATTGGTTTCTCTTATTTCCTTATATCTTCACAGATTGTGAGTGTTGGAAAGCATGTTAAAGGCTACCATTATATCATCGCAAACTTGGTAAGAAATATTTATTTTCTCTTTATCATAAGAATTTCTCAAGCATTCCAGATTATTTCAGCTGTGCCTAAAACAATGTTCCAATAAATGACTACACTATATTACTTACTAATCATTCTTACCAGTTAAAGCATTCCTACTGTATACTTACTAAGCTTTTTATAATACAGGATAATATTTTTATTCCAATGATTATTCTATTTGTAATGTAGAATTCAATATATTTGATGCAGATGCATTTAATATCTACCAAAATAACCTTTAAAACTAATTACAGTGTCTGCTTTGCTATGATATCACTTGGTAAATTAAATAATGGCCTTTTCTCTGTATAATGATAAATGTGCCACTTTGTGAATAAAGATTTCCAATACTTAGGGGTATTACAAGAATGATAGAAAGTGGTGACCCATGTCCTCTAATTTTAAGAAAAACAAGATTGAAATGGCTATTGAAGAAAGTTTTTTATTGTAATTCAAATTTTTAAAAATTATGTCAGCTTTTCACCTATTAAATATAGTTGGTTACTGGACTAAATACAGGCATTCGTATAAAATCCTTAAAGGCCTAAGGCAAGTCTTTTTTAAATTCTTGGCAAGGCTCACTAGGTATTTCTTGTTAACTCTGCCTATAGGGGGTAAACTAGCCAAGCAGAGGGCAATTTTCTTTGCTTTATTAAAGTACCATCTGCCCCAAGGGCTTGATTTCAAAAGTGGTATATCTTAGAGAAGTTCAGAATGTTTTTTTCTTTTTCTTTTCCCACCACATATTTCTTTGGTGAAGACCTTGTCCATGAAGAAAGGAAAATAACTAAGGCTACAAAGAGATTGAGATTTATCCACTATGGTCATTACCTATCAAGACAGAAATGTTCAGTCTTTAGTGAACTATGGAGTTGAAACATTAAAATGCAGCAATAGACTATAAACTTTTCTTGTATTGTGTTTCTTGAATAAAGTATAAGTGTGCTACTGAAGGGATTAGCATGAAAATATTGAGAAATTTTGACTTACGTTTTCCATTATTTTTAGAAGGTTCGTAGTCTGGATGTTCCAATATATTTTATAAAAATTCAAATCTATATAAATCTTAAAACAAGTATATTCTGATATTAATCACTGTAAGACAAAAAAAATATTATGTTTGAAATTTTTGCATTCCCAATGACATTGTACAAAAAGATCTAGCAAATAGAGGGTTTTGACATCTGTTCTTTCCAAACAATGGAATTCAGAAATAGAAAGTTGACGTGTTATACATTGTCATGCCAGAAATGGATCTCTAACATTGACACACCAACACAAAATGCAAAGAATTAACAGTTATAACATGCTAATGGGTATCACAACCTGTCTTAAACAGCCCTACTAAATGGTAGCAATATTAAGTTCTCTGTATAATGACTAACAGCATATGAAGTAGAAAAAGATTTTGCTTGTATTACTTTCACTAAAAGTAACTAAGCTTTTACCATACGTAGTTGATATTATTGTTACACATGACTATTCATGCCTATCTACATTATAATATAGTTTATTAATATGGATTCTATTGACTTATTCATTTATCCCTAAAAAACTGACTTTCAAAAGCAGAGTGACTTGTTCCACTGGGCCAATCAATAGCTATCTCTTGAGAACTATGTGCATAAGATTCCCAAAAGTGAAGTCAATTCTGTACCAAAAGAAAGATTATATTAATATTATACTTAGTGTTGAAAGACAGTGATTTTCCCCTAAGATCATGAATAAGACAAGGATGTCCCTTTCATCATTTTTATTGAACATTATACTGAATGTTCAAGCAAGGGATAGTAAGCAAGAAAAATAAATAAAAGGCATCTGGTTTGAGAAAAAGGTTTTATATAGAGACAACCCTAAGAAATCTAAAAAAAAAACCTATGAGAACTAATAAATGGGTTTAGCTGGATTGCAAAATATAAGGTCAATATGCTAAAAAATCTATGTGTTTCTATACACTAAAAGTTCTGAAAGTGAAGTGAAAAGAATTTCATTTATAACTTACAATTAAATTACAATATTCAATTAATGGGGCTGTTACTTAACCAACTCATCAAGACTGATTTATTTATTTGTTTGGTTTTTTTAATCCTCCCCCAAGGACATTTTTCTATTTATTTTTAGACAGAGTGGGAGGGAGAGAGAGAAAGAGAGAAACATTGAGGTGACAGAGATACATTGATTGGTAGCCTCCCATGGGCCCCGACCAGGGCCAGGGACTGAACTGTAACTGAGGTATATGCCCTTGACTGGAATCGAACCCATGACTTTTCAGTCTGAGGGCCAATGATCTAATCACCGAGCAAAGCCAGGCAGGGCTCATCAAGACTGATTTAGTTGGAGGAATCAAGATGAAGACTTAGGAAGCTTCTGAACATCCTTCATCCCACATAAGCACACACAGAGCAGCTCCTCCAAGAGAAATCCAGAGAGTAGCTAAGTGACTCCTACAGATCAGGCAGCTAAGAAAATATCCACGTCAAAATGGGTAGGAAAGGCTGAGGCACATTTTCTCCATAAAAACTATCCCTGGGGCAGTGTCATACAACTGGGAAATAATCCCCAGCTCCCAGATTCTCCAAGAGGATCAAAGATTTGGACCACAAATTTACTACCCCTGCCACTCAAGGACAAACCCCACCAAAAAAATATCTGCCTCTGAAAGCCAGTGGGATATGCATCCACAAGATCCACAGACTATAGAAAATAAGCCATTCCTAATGGGCGCACAAGCACTCAGTGTGACCATCTCAATAGGCACCAGCACAGAGGGAGAAGGCAAAAGTGCCCATCTCTCAGTCTTTTCCTGGAAGAGGATTGACTATATACTTTATAACCTGCTGTCTGAGAGTACATCTTCAGATGTCTAGCTTCACACATGTAAGGGCTGGCTGTAATCCTCCATGGAGCCTGGGAGAGCTGGTGAGCATTTATGCCACTTTTTTTTCTTCAGCTTCCTCTAACTGTAAAACCAGGTTGCCAACTTATCTCTAGAAGGAGATAGTATGCATGCCTGGAACCCCACATTCTGCTTATGCTGCCCCAAGGACAGCTGAATCTGATAGCCAACTGAGCTTGCATTCACAAGACCCACAGGACTGTAGCAAACAGTGAAGCAGTTCATAACAGGTAGTGCTTGAGAGTACTTGCCAAAGCTATTCCCCCAGGGCTCAGTGTAGAGGAAACAGGCAAAATGCCCATCTCCCAATCTTTCCTTAAATGGGTTTGACTTAATACTTTACAAACTGCTGCCGGATGGTCCGGCTTATAATCACCTGTGTCTAGGTGCTTACTGTGGTCCTCTCCTTTGGGACACTGACAGGCCTTGGCACACCCTCAACTACTAGAAGCCACTAAGAACAAAGAAGGCAGCTTAAGCAATCACACAGGTTTAAAGATGACCAGGAGTGTAGTCCACACTTGTTTATCCAGAAGAGAGTTCAAAAAAATTAGTCATAAAAAAATGCTTCCTGAGGTCAGAAAAGCAATATAAAATCAAAATGAGAATTTCAACAAAGAAACAAACTGTAGAAAGGTACCAAACAGAAATCACAAAGCTGAAGAATACAATAACTGAACTGAAACTTTAATATAGGGTTCAACAGCAGACTAGATTAAAGGGAAGAAAAGAACAGCTAATCTGAAGTTGGGACTGTGGAATTCAATCAGATAAGCAAAAAGAAAACAGAATGAAAAAGAGTAATGATCACTTAAGGGACTTATGATACACCATCAAATAAATTAATATATGCATTGTAGTGTTCCCAGAAGGAGAATAGAGAAGTAAAGGATTAGAAAGCCTGATCAAAGAAATAATACTTGAATATTTTTCTAAACTGGGGAAAGAAACACACATCCAGTTCCAAGAAGTCCAAAAAATACCAAATAAGCTGAATCTAAAGAGACACACTCTGAGACACATTATAATTAAATACAATTAAAAACAAAGAGAATCTTAAAGTATGCAAAAGTAAAGCAATGTGTTATGTACAACTACAAGACTCTCAGGATATTTTTCAGCAGAAATTTTGTGAAAAGAAAGTGGGGTGATATGTTCAAAGTGCTAATAGAGAAAAAACTGCCAACCAAGAATACTTTATCTGACATACTTGTCATTCAGAATTGAGCGAGATCATTTTCCAGACTAACATGAGCTGAAAAAGTTGTTGAACATGAGTGGCCTTACAAGAAATGTTAACATTTCAAGCTGAAATTAAAGGACACAAATTACTAACATGAAAGTAAACAAAACCCCTGGCAAAGGTAAATATATAGACAAATTCAGAACACTCCAATATTGTAATGGTGGTGAGTAAATCACTTCTAATTATAACATAAATGTTAAAAGACAAAGCATTAAAAAGAATAATAACTACATTAATTTCTAAATGAATATACAATATAAAACAATGTAAATTGTATTGGCAAAAACATAAAATGTAGAAGTTTAAAATTGTAGTTTTTTTGTTGTGTTCAAAGTTTAGTTGTTACAAGCCTAAATTAAACTGTTATAACTATAAGATGTTTTATGTAAACCTCATGGTAACCACAAAGCAAAAACCTATAGCAGAAACAAAAAACAAAATGTTTTTTGAAGTCAAAGGAATCAAAACATTGCTACATAAAATCATCACATCACAAAAGAATCAGCTGGAAAAAATTTCACAAAATGTCAGTAGCAGGTTCATCTTTACCAATAACTTTAGATGTAAATGGATTGCATTTTTCAGTTAAAAACCAGAGTGGCTGAATACCAAGTGTGCATCAGTAGACGAGTGGCTAAAAAAGCTGTGGTACATATACACAATGGAGTACTACGCAGCTATAAGAAGGAAAGATCTATTATCCTTTGAGACAACATGGAGGGACCTGGAAAGTATTATTTTAAGCGAAACAAGCCAAGCAGAGAAAGACAAATATTACATGATCTCACTTATTTCTGGAATATAATGAACTAAACAAGCTAATGAACAAAATAGACCCAGAGTCATAAAAGTAGGGTACAGACTGACAAACCTCAAAAGTGGGGGGAGGGAAAGGATAAACCACAGGACCTATATGGGGGGGGTGGAGAGGAGGCTGTCAATGGGGGGAAAAGGGAGAAACAGCTGTAACAAAAATAAATTAAAAAATAAAATAAAATAAAAATAAAAACCAGAGTGGCTGAATAGATAAAATAAAGAAAACCTAACTTCGCTGCATACAAAAGACTATTTCAGATGCAGTGGCACACTTAGACTGAAAGTGAAGGAGAGGGAAAAACAGTCCATGCAAATGGAAACTGAGAAAAGGAGAATCTATACTTACATCAGAAAAAACTGGCTTTAAACCAAAACTAACAAGAAACAAAGAAGGTCATTTATAATGATAAAAGGGGTCAATTCATCAATAGAATATAACATTTGTAAATATATACCCAGCATTAGAGCATCTAAAAATATAAAGCAAATATTAACAGATCTAAAAACAGAAAAAGACAACAATACATAGTAGGAAACTTCTATACCCAATTTTCAACAATGGATAGATAACTTTATAATGTCAGATGTTCCTTCAGGGTGGTATAGGAAATGCTTAAATGAATAGTTAGTGTCAGAATTGGGACTAGAACTCAGTTCCCAATATTTGTAGTCTAACATATTTTTACTCAAATTCAATGAACCCAGTCAAGAGTCCATGAATTTGGAGACATTGTTTTACTTTTTTTCTTTGTGTTTCCTATATTTTTCAATTTTCCTTAATTGACTATGTGTGATTCCACCATCTATTTACTTTTATCATTTAAAAAAAGAAAAAAAGCATACTTTAGCCCTGGTTGGTGTGGCTCAGGAACTAGAGCATCAGCCATACACCGAAGGGTCAAAGCGTCACAGGTTTGATTCCCAGTCAAGGGCACATACCTGGGTTGTAGGTTCGGTCCTCGCCCCCATCAGGGCACTTGTGGGAGGCAACCAATTGATGTGTCTCTCTCATATTGATGTTCCTCTCTCCCTGTGTTTTTCTGTTTTTCTCTCTCCCCTTTCCTCCTTTCCTCTACTCTCTCTGAAAATCAGTTGAAAAAAATATCCTCAGGTGAGGATTAACAACAACAAAAACAAAATGCCTACTTTAATCAAGTTCTTAACAACTTGAATTTTAAGCGATATTAAGAGGGAATGTCTCTCATTCAACTTGATGTTCCTCCAATAACTGTACCAGAGCTATCCCAGTGATTAGATACCAGTGAGCCTGAAATGCAAACAGCACGGATGTTTTCTGAATTAGACAAAACTTAAAGGATGAACATTTATTAAATACGTGTGATGTGGTGGACCTACATAGATTTATATCAATAGTCATCAGATTATCTGAAGGTCTATAATTTATTAATTTCCCTCAGAGGGTATATGGACTGTAAATGGAAATTAAAAGGAAAACCAGGTTGAAAGATGATCTTTCTGTAGGAAGTCACTAAGCATTGTGACATGCAAGCTTCGTTAAATAACCCACGTCAACACCTAGGAAGCCTCTCCCCTGCCCTCTAGCTACCATAGGGGGCATTATTTGCTTAGTTATTTAACCTCCCCCAATGCAGAATTGCAATTTGTTGCTGTTGTTGATCCTCACAGGAGGATCTTTTTTCCATTGATTTTTAGAGAGTAGAAGGGAGACAAGGAAGGAAAGAGAGAGAGAGAGAGAAACATTGATGTGAGAGAGACATGTGGATTGATTGCCACCCAAGTTCACCTCAACAGGGACAGGAATTGAACCGACAACCCTGGTATGTGTCTTTGACCAGAATCAAATCCTGCGACCTTCCGGTCCATGGGCCGACACATTAACCACTGAGCCAAACCGGCCAGGGCCAGAATTACAATTTTATTACAATGTTACCCAGAACTTTCAGTTCCACAATATTCTCCTGGTAAAAATTGAAATACAAATGACCACTGAAATAACTGTTTCCAAGAAAACTGCTTCACAGTCTAGATCCTATCAATTTCCTGTGTAAAATTATTTTTAAATGGAGGAAATGAAAACTAATGCCTGTACTCAAACAGACATAGCTCAAATTAACTTAGCCAGCCACCATTTAGCTCCATTTAGCAGTATGACCATTTAGCAGTATGAGCATTTAGCTCATACCTGGAAGAAGTTTATAATCAGATGTGGCAATATTTTTTTTCTTTTCCCTTCAGCATAGCAGCAGAATGGAATTAGAGAAATGTGGATTATTAGTTATCAGACTGTACATCCGATGATTTTTCTGGGGACTGCAGCTTTGCCTGTCTTGCAGCTGTGGGAAAATGTGTGAAAGAAAGGTTGGCAGCCTTCTACTGTAGCCCCTGCTGAAAGAAAATAAAAATGTCAGCAATTAGCAACTAATGCAATAGTGATCACTGTGGCTTTTAGAAAGCTGAAATTATTTGCTTGCCTGTAGGTCTGCCCTGTATTCTGGTAGAGACAAACAAATGTTCAACTGACATTTTACTAGCTAGAGACTGATGGACAGTGTTTTCCCTCATTTCAAAAACATGGATTTGCTTTCTGGTATCTAGTTTCTTTCCCCGTGAAATGAGAATGTTACTGATGAGCTATCAAATTAGTTGGCACGTAATAGGCATGAAATATATATTTGAATGAATTAATTAATTATAGCCATTATTTATTGAGTTCACCCCAGATGTGCAAGTACTCTGGCATTCTCGTTCCTGTTGCACACGTGGGAATGTTCTGAGGTGGTAGTGAGAGCCCGGGCTGTTTGCTGCAGTGTCATCACCTTGCCTCTCCTGGGGACATCATGATAAACACCAAAATTAAAAGCACACATATATGTATACGAATACACAGGAGCATGGAATTAAAAAGGCAAACTCAAGAGTCATCTTGGCTCTCATATATATTTGCCGGGTGAGCTTAAATAGTTTTGCTGTAACCCACTGAGCCTCAGTTTCCTTATTTATAAAATAAAATTCATAACAGAATCTACCTTATAACCTTGCTATGAAAGCTAATCTAGATAATTTCTGAAATGTGCTTAGCAAAGTGCCTGATACATAATAAGCCCAGCGTCAATATTAGCTATGAATACACACTCCTGGTGCCTCCCACAGCAACTCTGCAGAGTTGCCATACAGCAGCGTGCATGTATTGGCTAGTAAGCAACCTCCTTTGTTACTTTAAAAAGAACACAGTAGTTTCCAAAAACATGGTTGAGATGCAGTCAGTTGGATAGGCAGCAGCGTCTTCCTCTTCTCCCTGGTTCCTGCACAGACAGAATTTACTAGCTAACTTGACATTATTGGATCGTCCACCTGTTTCTAGTCATTGCTTTATTAGTACTGTAGTTATATATACATATTGGTTACTAATTTATGTCACCATGAAGAGGTGAAATGTATAATAAGAAGCTAAACTTAACAAACTGTCATATTGGTTTTTACAGGGATTCAAGGATATCTCTCTTGAGAGGTTTATACATGGTGGAGCCAACGTTACTGGATTCCAGTTGGTAGATTTTAATACACCTATGGTAACCAAACTAATGGATCGCTGGAAGAAACTAGATCAGAGAGAGTATCCAGGATCTGAGACTCCTCCAAAGGTATTTGTCTATTTTATCTTACTACGTTTGTTTAGTATTTTTTAAATTTAAAGTAGAAAATTTATGATGCAGCTTTTCTAGTAATATTTTGTCAGACATAGAATGACAGGGCAGAAGAATTTTGTCACTAAATTTCTATATTTAAGAGTAGAAGAGATAGATATTAGCTCAAGCAGTTTACTATTAATATTATTACTTTACATATAAGTTTCCATTGAAGATATTATATGCTTTAAAAAATTGTTAACTAAATATTTAAAATATAAACAACATTGGTAACTAGTCAACCCCCCAAAAAACAACTACATTTTCAAAGTGATTTAAATGAGTATACAAACTTCCGGTCAAGATGGCGGCGTAGGTAAATGCAGTATCGCATGCTCCCACAACCACATCAAAGTTACAACTAAACTGCAGAACAACCGTCATTCAAAACTGCCTGAAATCAAACTGAATGGAGGTCATACGACTACGGAATTAAAGCAGCAGCCACATCCAGACTGGTAGGAGGGGCGGAGGCGCAAGGGGCTGCGGTCCGCCAGGCTGGTCCCACACCCAAGTGTGGCAGATAAAAATCAGGAGGATACCTCAGCTAGGAAGGTCCTTCCTGAGGACTGAGGGGTCCCCGTCCCACACCAGGTGCCCCGCTCAGGGTTCCAGTGCCAGGAAAAGAATCCTCATAACTTCTGACTGGAAAAACCAGCGGGAACTGAGGCTCAGGGAAGCTGATGCTGCTGGAGCCCCAGGCAGCTCCTTAAAGGGCCCGCGCACAGACTTATCGGACTCTCTCCCTCTAAGCTTGGAGGGGAGGCAGCTCAAGGGGCACCAGAGTCATACAGGGAAGAACTGAGCTGTTTGGCACTGGAGTGAGGGCTGAAGAGGGGGCTTCCTCGGGGACAAACGTGCTGTCAGAGGCCTTTGTTTCTTTGGTGAGCCCTTCCCTGGGGCAGCAGACAGCCGCCATATCTGGGACTCCAGCAACCTGGCTCACACTGGTAGCCCCGCCCTGGTGACTCCCTGAGACCCCGCCCCACCCCCACCCCCACCCCCACCCATCTTTCAAGCCCACCCAAGCTGTTGCAACTTGCTTAACCATAGGATTGGCCTGTCTTGGATCCTGCTTCAGTTTTTCCTAAATTCTTTCAAACAAGCAGCATCTGGTCTCAGCTAGCCCCATACCTCTCGTTAAGTAATACACTGAAACAAACACAGGGAAGAAGCCAAAATGAGGAGACAAAGAAACAGGACCAAAATGAAAGAACAGAACAAAACCCCAAGAAAAGAACTAAGCGAAATGGAGATAAGCAACCTAACAGATGCTGAGTTCAAAATACTACTTATAAGGATGCTCAATGAACTTAGTGAGAACCTCAGTGAACTTAGGGAAGGCCTCAAGAGCATAAAAAAGGACCAATAGAAATCATGGATGCACAGTTAGAATTGAAGGAGGCATTAACTGAAATAAAGAATAATTTACACAGCTTCAATAATAGAGTACGTAAATCCAAGGAGCAAACCATCGATTTGGAATATAAGGAAGCAAAAAATGCCCAATCAGAACAGCAAAAAGAAAAAAGAATCCAAAAAAAAATGAGGATAGTGTAAGGAGCCTCTGGGACAACTTCAAGAGTGCCAACATTCGCATCTTGGGGGTGCCAGAAGGAGAAGAGAGAGAACAAGAAATCGAAAACCTGTTTGAAACAATAATGGCAGAAAACTTTCCTAACTTGGTGAAGGAAACAGACATACAAGTCCAGGAAGCACAGAGTCCCAACCAAGATGAACCCCAAGAGGCCCACACCAAGACACATCATCATCAAAATGCAAAAGGTTCAAGACAAAGAGAGAATCTTAAAAGCAGCAAGAGAAAGGCAGCTAGTTACCTACAAGGCAGTTCCCATAAGGCTGTCAGCTGATTTTCTCAAAAGAAACTTTGCAGACCAGAAGGGCATGGCAAGAAATATTCAGAGTGATGAAAAGCAAGAACCTACAGCCAAGATTACTCTATCCTTCAAAGCTGTCATTTAGAATCGATGGCCATATAAAAAGTTTCCCAGACAAGAAAAAGTTAATGGAGTTCATCACCACCAAACCGTTATTATATGAAATGATGAAGGGTCTTTTTGAAGAAAAAGATAAAATATATGAACAAACCAAATGGCAATGAATACATATCTATCAACAATGGAATCTACAAACAAAATGAACAGGCAGAACAGAAACATTCTCATAGATACAGAGAAGATTTTGTTGGTTGCCATTTGGGAGGGGGTTGGGGGAATGGTGAAAAAGGTAAAGAGATTAAGAAGTACAAATTCATTGCTAGACTGACAAACCACAAAGGGAAAGGGGTTGGGGGGGTAGGAAGAAATAAACCAAAGAACTTATATGCATAATCAATGGACACAGACAATAGTGTGGGAAAAGGCGGGAGGGGGCAGGAGTGGGGAGGAGGGGGTCAATGGGGGAAAAATGTGGAACATCTGTAATACATTTCACATTCAACAATAAAGATTAGCCCTGGCCAGTTTGGCTCAGCGGTTGAGCGGTTGAGTGTGGACCAGAGAATCCCGGGTTCAGTTCCCGCCAGGGGCATGTACCACAAAATAATAATAACAATAATAATAATAGCAACATTCAACAATAAAGATTAAAGAATAAAGAAATAAATGAGTATACAAATTAGAAAATTGGTAGAATAAAAAATGTGCAAGTTTTGCAAAAAAAAAAGTTTTTCAAATGAATAGTAAAATGTCTGATTGTTTAATTTCTTCATTGCAGAAGTATGTTATTGGTATGTATAAAGGAAGCTGATCATAAGCACATTTTTTTCTCACCTAAAAAGAGATGCGATTTTCTTGGAATTTGTGTAAACAATGGCATAATGTTTCTTGAATTCCACCGTAGTGGTTTTGACCTCCTACATAATAAGCCATCATCATTTTTAATGACTTTTACTAATCCCTCACTGACAGTGTATTCTAGTAAAAAAGTTTTCAAAGGGAATTCAGAAATTCAAGCCCAGAAAACTACAGTCCAGTGGTAGAGAGCCTGTTTTTCCATCCCTATTAGCTATGTCAGTTTCCCCTCTATAAAGTAGGAATTTGGCTGGTTATACCATCTTCACTACTCTATAGAATGGAATTTCAAAACAAAGCATTTATTAAGTACTCTGTATATGTCAAGCACTGTAATCTAACCTTCTGGTTTTATAGATGAATAAATGCAAGATATTAAATGGGCATGTTAACTGGCTATCCCTGAGTCAAGGACCAGGTTTGTGGAATTCCCAGGATCAAATCATGGGCTCCCTGAGTTGTAGACAAGTGCATTTTCCACTCTATTAAACCACTTCTCGTGCTTAGATAACAGGTATGAAAGCATTAAAAAAAAAAAAAAAAAGCCAAAAACCTTTTTGAGATGCAAATCACCCTCACAATTAAAAGGACCTTGAGAAGTCTTTTAGTCTGCCTGCTGCCTTCTGGCAGGTTTAGAGATGAATCGTGCCAAAACTTCCATGCATCAGGTGTTCACACCCAAAGAGAGGAATGTAAAGCTTCCTTCTGAACACACAGCTAATCTAGATGCTTTGCTCTACAGCACCTCCCCCTCATCCTGTCATCATGTGTTCAGAGACTCATCCTCCTGGGACAGTATTTCTTCCCTCCTCACACCTTGTGCTGTCAGACTGTTATTTATGTCCACATTTCTTCTGGAGACCATCTGTTACTTTTTGAGCCTTAGGAACTAGAGTGGGCTTCAAACTTCTTGGCAGTGTTTTCTAGGTTCTTGTGACTGCTTTTCCTTTCAATGAGAGTATCCACATTTGGTCACAGTGTCCACTTTGAGCCCCTGCCTGGACACATCAGTGTTGCTAGCCCTTCCCTGCCTTTAACCATCCCAAGTTTTCCTATGTGCTAACCTGTAAGTACACTGATCTATGCCACAGCGTGGGGACCCTTTTTACATGTAAATATAGGGTTTTTTTTCATCTTTCACAGCTTTTAGCATGCTGCTGGGCACTCGGTAGCCATTTAATAAATACAGAAGTGGGCAAAAGTACGTTTATAGCTATTCATGAAAAATGCAATTGATAAATAGTAACACCAAAATAAACTGTAATTTGTGTACTCACAACTGTAAACCTACTTTTACCACCCTCCGTATATACAGGCAATTCTCATTATTTATGGTAGTAACGTTTTGTAAAGTTACTACAAACACTGAATTAGTGAACACTGGACCCTCATTCCTGGGGAAAATAAGGTTAGGTTCCCACAAGCCTCCGGTCACAACCTTTTTGGCAACTGACAAACACATAGCACATGTGTTTCTGCTTAAACACACCTTATTTAATACACAGTTGATTCATTAATATTGAATTCATGGCCAAGAGCACTATAACTGACTTCCGGTCAAGATGGTGGTGTAGGTGAAGAGGTATCGCGTCCTCCCACAACCACATCAAAGTTACAACTAAACTACAGAACAACCATCATTCAAAACCGCCTGAAATCAAGCTGAATGGAAGTCCTACAACTACGGAATTAAAGCAGCAGCTGCATCGAGACTGGTACGAGGGTTGGAGGCGGACATGGCTGGTCCCACACCCACGTGTGGTGGATAAAATCAGGAGGATACCTGGCTGGGAAGGTCCTCCCTGAGAACTGAGAGGTCCCCGTCCCACACCAGGTGCCCCGCTAAGGGTTCCAGTGCCAGGAAGAGAATCCCCATTACTTCTGACTAGAAAAACCAGTGAGAACTGAGGCTCAGGGAGGCTGACGCAGCTGGAGCCCCAGGCAGCTCCTCTTAAAGGGCCTGCACACGGACTTATTGGACTCACTCCCTCTAAGCTTTGAGGGGAGGCAGCTAGAGGGACACCAGAAACATACAGGGAAGAACTGGGCTGTTTGGCACTGGAGCGAGGGCTGGAGAGGGGGCTTTCTCCAGGACAAACATGTTGTCAGAGGCCTTTGTTCCTTTGGTGAGCCCTTCCCGGG